CAACATTCTGGGATTCTATTTACTGACCCAGGTGTTCGTGTCCTACTTCCACTCATTCACAGAATCACGGGGTGGTCGAGCTTGGAGGGGACCTCTGGAGGTCAACCCCCTGCCAGTGCAGGGTCACCTTAGATAGGTTGCCCAGGGTGGTGTCCAGGTGAGTTTTGAAAGTCTCCAGAGATGGAGCCTCCAACACCTCTCTGGGCAGCCTTGCCAGGGCTCTGCGACTCTCAGAGTAAAGTTCCTCCTTCAGAACAGCTCTGACTGGCTTCTCATGGGCGGTGTTGCCCCGCTCAGTCACATTATCCAGTTGTTATGGGCTACTTAGACAAAAAAAAAAAAGGTACTGTAGATCTTTTAAAAGACCTCCAAAGTTGTTTTGTTTGGTTTTCTTTTTTTTTGTTTAATTTTTCAGTCCCTTAGGAAATAAATTAACAGAACACTGCGCAAATCCACTGGAAATACCGCAGTCACGCAGAGCCCTTGTCCGCCTGAGTTTGTATAACAATCCGATTAATATGTAAGACATGCGTGATTCATTTGCTGAATTTTCTTCAGGAGAAAATGTTTAGCCCTCGATATAAAAGACATGCACTTAATTATCATCCTTCTGCCACTGGAGGGTTTTGGGCATGGTAGAAGGATCAAGTGGTCTCTTGGCATCCCGAGTTAGTCCTTCAACATGAATACTGCAGTTCTCCTTCCTGGGAGATGTGCTTAGTTTCTCACCGCATTTGCATCTCGTGAAACAAACTCTTTTTCTGTAAGAAATTTTCGGTGCCAGAGCATGGCCTTGAAGACCTTTGTTATTTTTATTTAATTTTCACTTGATTTCATTGACTTAAGTGTGGGAGAAAATAGTTAAGAAGGATGCAGTACCATTTTTTTCAGTCTTGAAACATAGTAAATACTTCATATTCTCACTTTTGTAGATTACTCTGAAAAAAAAACCCTTTGCCTGCTTATACCTGATTGCACTTGTCTTCTCAAAAGGGATATATTCACTTGGGTTCTGTTCATTTTGTGATTTTAATGACATTGAAATAGATCGCGTAAGAGTTGATGTATTCATTTTTATTGTATTTACATCAGCTGCAGATCACACTGAAATAGCGAATTGTTATTTCTGCCTAAATGTTGCTTTCCTCAGCAGCAACTGATATTATCCTCACAGTTATATATTGCAATTTCCTACAGCGTCTTTGAAGATCTACTCTTACAAGAAGTAAAAGAAAATTTCTTGGTTCTTCTGTATAGCTGATAATCAGATTGACCTTCAAGAAAATAGACCCTTTTCCTGGGCTTCTTGAATATTCAGCTTCCTGGTATTCTGTCGTAGTCTACTTTTAATTGCAAATTAACTAAGCTTCCCCCTCCCCTTCATTAAAAAGTCTCCTACGTATCAAACATGGCGAATCTGCCTTATATAGATACTTGTGTGTTCAGGAACTCCTTTTCGATGTAATATGTTTAATAAGGAATTAATAAACTTTGCTGCAGAATTGCAATGAGTACTAATCTGCTTTTTGAAATGTACAGATTGAGGGATTCTTTTCCTTTATAATTTTACTGTTAGTGGCAATGAGAAATAAGTATGTTTAGTGCTATCTTTATATCAGCAACAGTTGCCCTCCATGTTTTCTCCATGTAACATTTTCTTATTGTCACCCATGCTACACCAAAATCCCCTTTAAACACGATCCAGACTTAATCAACGTGTAAAACTGATGTGTCATTGTCAGCCTTATCCTCAGAAGTGTTCCTGTACTAAATGAACTGGGTTAAATACTAGAAACTGTGACAGAACTATGGGAGAAGATACTTTCCAGGTACTGTATAAAAGTCACATGGTTATCATGGCTAAACGTTACTTGTTTGCCTAGAGAAATCAGACAGGTGACATCGATAGTGGTGGAAATCCCTGAACTTTAGGTGTGTAAATAAATGAAAAAACAGATCAGGTTTTGGGATCTGGGATAATGCTTAAACGTAGCACCCGATCTGCAGAAAACACCAAGCACAAGCGAACGACAGTGATGAGGAACATTCTTGCCCACAGATCTGGGCAAGATCTCTGCTCCAAGGGAGCTCCAGTGTACAGCCCTGTAGAGACTAGCATGGGACGGCGTGGTGCCCAGTTGTTGCTGGATTCTCCGGAAGAATAGAGTTCTGATGATGTGGCACCTGCTTTGAGCTAATTGGGCATCATTAGCTTCATATCAGCAGGCACCACTGTGCTGCATATACTCATCTCTTAGACTTGCAGGTTCTCCGCAGTCTTGAACCCAATATCATTTGAGATCTTTCCTACTGGTGGGAGGAACTGAGCTTATTGAAGCAGAAAGATTGCAAGAAATTGCCAGGTTCTAGCAGCTAGGAACTTTGGGAGTATTGTTGCACTGGTACAGTTCTCCTTACCTGTTGCTGATGTCGCTCTCTTTTCCTAGAAGTGTTTTCTTAGAAGTGGAAATTTATCTGTGAAAGCGTTTAGCTGCAAGTTCCCCAAAGTACAAATGAGTTTCATTGAAATCCTTGGGGAAAAGAACAATGAGTTGTAGTGAGCTGCGCCAGGACACCTTTTCTAGAAGTTACCAGGCTTACCCTAAGCAAGAATTACCTTGGAGTGCTTACATGAAAATTAAACTTAGTTCTGCTAGCACCAGGAAAAGCCTACGCTGGAATCAATTCTGTAATTTCACTTGTCCATCAAAACAGCTTCATTTTAATAGCTGGATATTGTCCTACAGTAATTATGGAGCCACATTTCCGTCTTCCCTGCTTTCTTCTCCCCACCTCACTGGTAAGGAGCTGTTTGTATAACTTGAAGATTAGTGATTTTTTGAGAATGTTACTGCTTTAATCTAAAAATCAATGGGATTTCACTGCAGTCAGAAAACTGTACATCCTCTTTTGTATACAAATCCCCAGGGCCTTAGAGGAAAAAGTCTTGGAAGGGAAATGTAAAAAGAATTTTTATGTTATGTGCAGAAAGACAGATTGTATTTTTTTGGGGGGGGGGGGGGGGGGGAAACAGTTTTGGGGGGGGGGGAGTGGAGAAAGAGGAGAGACTAACAAGTACAATGTGCTTCTTCCAGTTTCTGTGACGCCAAATGGGTTGAGCAGAACATAAACCACAAACTCTGACTTTCCTTCTCCTCTTGGCACCGCTCCGCTGATCTTTGTGTGCGGTGACTTGTGTTGTCCTCAGCGTTGAAGATCTCTGTGAATTCAAAGAAACACTTCTAACTCATTCTTTCTGGCTGTATTTTTTAATTAGCGAGCGGGTGGCGAAGAATGAAGTGATGCAGTGAGCCAGGCTTGAGTGTTCTGAAGGGGGTTTGGAATTTCAAAAATCGTTGTTTACAATTTTCTAAGTAGTTTTGCTGTCTTCTCTGTACAAATGCGAAACTCCTGAAGAAGTTATTGGAAAAGGAGAAAGTGGTGGGTTTGTGTGTAAAAGTAGACAATATGCATTGATCTTGCTACTAAAGGTTTTCCATGATCTGCTATATCAACAGAACTAAACATTCATTTAATATTTCTGTATTGCATTCATCTCACGGTACAGAGCCTGTAGGTATCAAGTATCTCAATTAGTCTGTTAGTCTATAGCCTGCCTCTGAATAAATTAATACGTCTCGAGATTCTGAGCTAAGAATGTTTTGTATTTTTTTAATCAAAACAGTCTGGTATCAATATCACCCATCAGTTCTCTCCGTATTATTTTGGGAAGCTGCTATACTGTGAGTGTGTAGGCAAAGAAGATGCAGTTGATAGCAGCAGAGATAGGAGAGAAGAAGTAGCCTGTGAGTTCATAGATTTTTGTATATCGTAATTTTGTGATTTTTTTTTCAAAAATATCATGTGTATAATGCAACTATGTTATTAGAATTGTAGAATGCGTTGGGCTGGAAGAGACCTTTAAAGGTCATCAAGTCCAGCCCCCCGCAGTGAGCAGGAACTGGAGCAGGTTGCTCAGAGCCCCATCAAGTCTGACCTTGAACGTCTCCAGGGATGCGGCCTCCAGCCCCTCTCCGGGCAGCCTGTTTCACAATGGATGTGCTAGTCTTCTTATAGATGGTCACTTTATGATAGTATTTAGTTCCAGAACCTGCCATAAGCTGAGTTCTCACATGTTTTGTGTTGGTGAGCAAAAGACAAATACCTCGGGTGATCAGAAGGGGCGTGCAATGCCGGCTCTCGCTAATCCTCCAAATTTGAGGAGCAAAACCGAGGTTGAAATGGCCAAATTGTGCTTCAGCGTATTTCCACATTGACAATATCCGGCATCGCTGACAGAAGATGGAACTAGAGGGACACTTTTTTGGATAAGCTTGAGCAGATGGGCTTAGTATTAAGACAGTTGCCAAGAGGATTCTTTTGTCTCATCGTTAATGCTGAGTAGGTTCTCAAGCTGGACGTGGCGCTGAGTGTCTGCAGGCATTGCCCAGTGCTCTGCTCAGACAGATTTGCTGCTGGGTCCGAGCAGAGTGAGCTTGATGCGTGGCCTCAGAATCCTCCCTGTGTTTTAGTCACATTTACACTGCTTTGCGTGTTTATGTCTTTTTTTTTCCCCCCACATACAAATCAATAAATGTCTTCTTCTCAGCCTCCAAGTGCTACCGTAGCATCAGTAACGTGGAGCACTTGAATTCCTGCACAGCTGGAGGTGTGTTTGTGTGTCTGTATATCCATCTAAGGTACTGCCCAGCTGACGTGTGCAGACAAAAGCATTGTGAGATACTGAATCCTACTGATAAATCTTGAGGTTTTTATAAAAATCTTTTTTTTTTCCATTGCGTGGTGTTTCTGAGAACTGTCTTGTGTCTAAATACTCAGCCAGTAATGCTACAGCTTTCATTTTAGGTTGGTTGTATTTAAAGAATGCCCGAATTTTCACTTCTTTTAAATAGACTGAAAAAATAATAGGCGTTTTTGTAGTTTCTATACGAAGAGAATTGTATTTTATGTACTACTAGGTGTTTGTTTTTCTTCTAAAGTGCTTCATCATCTGTCATTCCTTGAAGCAGAGGCAGTGATAAACTCCCTGTCCATGTTCATGGGAGTCAAGAACGTTTTTGGTTCTCTGGGGATTGATGCCATATTAGCAGGACGATGTATTGATTTGGGTGACTGCCGATGTGTGATGCGCGACAGAAATGAGAAATTGGAGCTTTCTGAATGTGGAGTAAATCGTGCTGCTGCCGAGGTATGAACGATTTAAGGGACGAGCGATCAATCAGATTCTCTGCTGGTAGCAGTGCTACATGCAATTTAATATATAGTAAAACAACGCTTCTTTTACAATCTAAATCAAATAGACAGCGTTCTGTGCTAAACTCAGATTATTGCAAAGAAGACTTGGCAGCGTTTTTGGCTTTAGCGTGCTTTACTTTCTACACTACTGAAGTGTGAAAGGACTGGAGAATAAATCTTACGAAGAACGATTGAAGGAGCTGGGGCTGTTGAGTTGGAAGAAGAGGAGGCTGAGGGGAGACCTCATCGCTCTCTGCATCTGCCTGACAGGACGTTGTAGAGAGGTCGGGGCTGGTCTCTTCTCACGGGTAATTAGTGACAGAACAAGAGGGAACGGCTTCAAACTGCAACAGGGGAGGGTTAGGCTGGATGTTAGGAAAATTTTTTTCCCAGCAATAGCAGTCAGCCCTTGGCACAGGCTGCCCAGGGAGGGGGTTGAGTCCCCACCCCTGGAGGTGTTTGAAGCTTGTTTAGATGTGGGGTTGGGGGAGATGGGTTAGGGGTGAGCTTTGTAGAGCAGGGTTAGTGGTTGGACTCGATCCCTGGGGTCTTTTCCAACCTGAATGATTCGATGATTCTATGATAATTTAGAAAGCTTGAGCTGACGTTGATTAATTCTGCCTTTCCCTTGTCAAGAGCCTCGGATTATTCTTTCTAGACTGCGTATTACTATTTCAGATTGGATGGTCTTTAAATAATTTTAACTTGTAAGTAGAGTTGTTTTGAGTCCCAAGTACCTGCTAATGGAGTTTATCATAGCCACAGGTAATTGGACTTTAATATCTGTAAAATATCCGCTAGAGACATGAATAGGCCTATTCTCTTCTGGCAGATGTTTTGCAGATATTGAGCTTATATCCAATTATTTGGGGTACTTTAGCAGTACATGGTAGCATTCGCGTGCAGATGACTCTGATAGTTTTTTTTCTCCTTCTCCATGTTTTGAAATGAATGGGATGATTCATTCTACTTTGAAAGAGAGAAATATTTTAATGAAAGCTTGAAGAGACTTCCTGAAATTCTTCTTACCTACTAACAGGTCCTGTCATTCAGCCTCAAAGTATTAGTTTAGCATTTCTGCAGCGTGAGTACCATAAGCAGTGGGAAGTTCTGCACAGTGTCCCCAAACAGCCCAGAGCTACAGATTTTCTGGGATATAAATCCTGGATTTCTGCTACGTGAGCACTGATATGAGCAGAGGGTTCAAAGCCAAACCGTGTATAGGCAGTTGGGCAGAACTAGCCAGTGTTCTAAAAAATAAAATAAAATAAAGAGTCCTTAGGGCTTGTTATTAAATATATTTTCTCGCACATAAAAAGGGTTTGTTTTTTTTTATTGCTGTAACTTATTTTAGAATTTATTTTGTCAGAAAGAAAAATAAAAGGTTTATTTATTGGGTATGAAACTTAACAGTTAAATTACCTCAAAATTGAAAAAATTACCTTAATTAATGAGTCTTGTAAATGGTACTAGAATCTGGAACTTGCCATTGGAGGGCAGGGTAGATTTGAGCTAGAATATCAGGAAAACTCAGCAATATCATGAAGAGTGAACCTTCACAACAAGGTATGTAATATTCTTTCTTTACTCTCTATATATTTTTTATTACTTGCTTTGACATCTCAAGATCAGCCAATGTATTGTTTCCTGTATTATTTTTTTTTCCCTCTGAAAGCCTAGAGTGAGACATGACAACCACAAAGTGGTGATAGACAAGGAGGCAAGTCAGCTGTCTGCCTTTTTTCCGAAGATGGGCTGGTGACCAGAAAAGACATCCTGACAACCTGATGAATTTCGGGTCTGCAGAATCTGCGCGTGTTCCTCACGCTTGGAAAAATGACCAAAGAACTTACTGCACTGAAAAAAGGATTTGAGCTTCCCCCAAATACTAACCCAAACACGTTCCTTTCAGATGTCATTGAAGTTTTGCCCTGAACACAATCATTAATGACCTCCATCCACGTACCATTGATCTTCCCGGCAAAGCACCTTTGAAGGCAAAGGAAGCAGATCTGTCAGTACTTAAAATTTAGCGTCCTGCAAAGAGTAGAAATAACTTGTCGGCAGCTCATGCCCCGATGCTCACCGTAATCTCCCTTCGGTCAGACATCTCCTTCGCCAGTGGGAGGAGGTACACCAAGAGGTGCATCGCAAAACGGGGCAAAAAGCCTTCTTTCAGGCAATATTTGGGAACGTGGCAGCAGCGGGGTGAGGTGCTAAGCAGCAATTTGCAAAAACAAAGTCCATGAGCTGGATTCCAGCTTTTACAGATACCCGCTGGAGAGCCAGAGGCTGGGGCCAGGCAGGATGAGACCGTTGCACGCACAACGCCGCGACGAGGAGGGGAGCTGCCCAGGTGTATCATCGAGGGTGCCAGAGCCAGAACTTGGTAGAAAAATATACCACGGAAAGTAATGAACAGAAAAAAGCGAAATTTAAAGTTATTGGCATAGTTTTTCAAGTTGAGCTTCACAACTCGAGTCTGTTAGTTCAGTAACTATGGCAGTCTCAGTTCTGTGGCTAAGTATTTGTCATTTCTTAAAATGTTCAGTACTTAGAAGTGCTTCAGTATTTTAGGTCATTTTGGAGGGAAAGAAACTTTTAAATGATGGTGCACTTCTACCTACCAAAGATACCACTGCTATCTTTATACTGTGGAAGAAGTGGAATGAGGTGAATTGAAGAAATGAGAGCGAGGGAGGGAGGATCTCATATAATTAGGCAGTCGTAGAAAATTGTATTTAAGCAGCAAAATACATTATTTCCTCAAGAGAACAAAACAATTCCAATCTCCTGGGTAAGTCTGTAATTTAACTCTTGAAATAATTCAATGCTATAGAACAATTCGAAACCAGTTCTAACACAGTCCTGGCTGTACTATAGGATACCTCAGCTAGAAATTGTTGTGCGAAAGCTCTTCTTACCTCTAAATATAACACCTCTTGGTCAACAAGCAACTATTTTGTGCTGTAAATTTTGTCTGAGACAACCCTATGTTGGGTAATAAGGGTTCTCTTATGCAATAAGTGAAAAACAAAGCTCAATCACATGTGGATTTTCGTGAGCAAACTTCAAAGCTGACGAGTTCTGACGACAAAAATGCGGATTTGAATGTTGTTGTACAACAGGAAGCATCGGTGTCATTGTGGAGTCGTGGTTAACGCTTGTTTGATTCCAGTCGCAGCAGTCAGCTTGGCTCCTTTGCAGACCTCTCATGTTTTAGACTCTTAACGTAGAATAAATGATGATAGTAGCTGTGAGATTCTTTTGATGGCATTGTCCAGGCAGAGGAAGGAAGCTAAATCTTAGGGGAAGTTATTCGTCTAAATCATGTTCAGATATCCCTTTGTCGATTCTCCGCTTGGTGAAGTGAGAGAGAAAGCACGAGGGGGAAACAAATAAGTGAGCAGTGATGGAAACTCTTTGTTGATGTGAATTCAACCTGTTTCTTCAGGAATTTTGAATAAGTCAAAAGCATTATCATGTTGCACATTGTAGAGCTTTTTCTCCCTTAACTTATTTAAAACATACAAGCTTTTTTTTTTTTTTTTTCTCTTTGGTTGATGTCGTCAGCTAGACCTAGTGAATTTTGGGGTAAATGGAAGAACTTATTTCACAAAAATTAAAAAAAAAATCTATTCTTTCATGAGCTTTGCTGTCAGTGTCAGCGACTTTGAAAGCAGAGTGGGTTCCATCTCGAATT